TTGGTACGTGGAGAAGCTCTTGCATGTTGCGGCCCCGATGCAGTTGGACATGTTGTGAGAAAGCAGTCAGCACGCCACGGGATGCCTCGCTGATGACAAATCATGCTAACTCATGTCCACCGAAACTTTGCATGTGGATGCATGTCGTCCTAACACAAGCTGATTCAAAGGCTTTGCCAGACGCATGTGTCTTGTTGAGGGCTGTGTCTGCAATGATGACAACGAAGCATGCTAACCTATGTCCACCGAATATCTCCGTGTGGATACATCGAGTCCTAACATCTGATATGGACCGTGGGATCGCGTAGTGCTAGAAAAGGCACGTATGAAAGCGGCATGTCTCTGTGTCCGTGTGCGTTAGGACTTGGCCGTTTGCAAAGCGTGGTAGCCTGTGTCCACCTCGTGCTAGTACTTGGAGAAGCTCTTGCATGTTGCGGCCCCAATGCAGTTGGACTTGTTGTGTGATCGCAGTCAGGTTGCCACGGAAAGCCTCGCTGATGACAAACTATGCTAACTCATGTCCACCGAAATTTTGCATGTGGATGCATGTCGTCCTAACACAAGCTGATTCAAAGGCTTTGCCAGACACATCTGTCTTGTTGAGGGCTGCGTCTGCAATGATGACAACGAAGCATGCTAACCTATGTCCACCGACTATCTCGGTGTGGATACATCGAGTCCTAACATCTGATGTGGACTGTCGGACGGCGTAGTGCTAGAAAAAGCACGTGAGTATAAAAGCGGCATGTCTCTGTGTGTCCGTGTGCACGAGGACTTGGCCGCTTGCAAAGCGTGGTAGCCTGTGTCCACCTCGTGTTGGTACGTGGAGAAGCTCTTGCATGCGGTCCCGATGCAGTTGGAAATGTTGTGCGAAAGCAGTCAGCGTGCCACGGAAAGCCTCGCTGATGACAAACTATGCTAACTCATGTCCACCGAAATTTTGCATGTGGATCCATGTCGTCCTAACACAAGCTGATTCAAGGCTTTGCCAGACGCATCTGTCTTGGTGAGGGCTGTGTCTGCAATGATGACAACGAAACATGCTAACCTATGTCCACCGACTATCTCCGTGTGGATACTACAAGTCCTAACATCTGATTTGGACCTGTGGGGATAACGCAGTGCTGGAATGGGGCTGAGTACAGGAGCAGCGTGGTCTCAGACGCCATCTATGCGCCATCCACGTTGGGATCGTCACCAGACTTGAATGTCGAATCAGTAGGACTTGGTCGTGCTGAGGTTGAGAGTGAAGCATAGCGAAGCATGATCGCATATGTCCACTTCGTGTTGGTACGTGGAGCAGTTCCTGCATGTTGCGGCCCCGATGCAGTTGGACTTGTTGTGTGAACGCAGCCTCCGTGCCGCGGGAAGCCTCGCTGATGACAAACTATGCTAACTCATGTCCACCGAACTTTTGCATGTGGATGCATGTCGTCCTAACACAAGCTGATTCGAAGGCATTGCCAGACAGATGTATCTTGATGAGGGCTGTGTCTGCAATGATGACAACGAAGCATGCTAACCTATGTCCACCGACTATCTCCGTGTGGATACAACGAGTCCTAACATCTGATGTGGACCGTCGGATGGGTACTGCTAGAAAAGGCACGTGAGTATAAAAGCGGCATGTCTCTGTGTGTCCGAGTGCGTGAGGACTTGGCCGTTCACGAAGCGTGGTATTCCGTGCCCACCTCGTGCTGGTACGTGGAGAAGTTCTTGCATGTTGCGGCCCCAACGCAGTTGGACTTGTTGTGTGATCGCAGGCAGGTTGCCACGGAAAGCCTCGCTGATGACAAACTATGCTAACTCATGTCCACCGAAACTTTGCATGTGGATGCATGTCGTCCTAACACAAGCTGATTCAAAGGCTTTGCCAGACACATGTGTCTTGGTGAGGGCTGTGTCTGCAATGATGACAACGAAGCATGCTAACCTATGTCCACCGACTATCCCCGTGTGGATACAACGAGTCCTAACATCTGACGTGGAGAAGCAGATTCTGTGCGAAGCGCCACTCCTCCACGACACAATCCGATCAGTTGGCCTTCTGCAGACAATCTTATGCTACTCATTTGTTGTGGCTATCTAGCTATAGCTGGTCATGACGACGACGACAACGGAACCTGGGTGGAGGGGGGTTCCGAAGATTGAGATCCACTTTAGACCCCTACTTGCATGAGTTTTGCCTTCCCCTGAGGACCACAGAAGCAGGGATGCTAATCTAGAGAGGCACTCGTATGCTAGCTCTTAACATCTCGTAGCCGTCGATGCATCGCTCGTGGTCACCGCTCCCCTGAGTTGGAATCTCCTTGACCTGCATTCAAAGTTTTCTTGTGCTTTCTAGGATGCATGTTGTCAACCCAGGCGATGACAACAGGCCGGTTTGAAAGTGCCGCTGAAGTCTGGTGCCGGCAATACTTGGAAGCGAGGCGCAGCGCGCCGGCGTGCGGCGAGTGATCTTTGCCTCCACGCTCCTTCGACCGCAAGAAGTCTCGGATTCTGGAGAGGCTGGAATAACTACAATGCTTTTCCTCAGGGCTCCGGTAATAGTTACAGTATTATACACATCAAAACCCTATTCTAGTTACTAAGACCCCTACATTAGCTTGCCAAGCTGGTGTAGGGCAGCTGAGCCCTCAGCCCCAATTTCATTGGACGACTACTTCAAACTACCCATAAACCTCCGAGTACCCTGTTCTGAGGAACCATACCCAGCACGGGGCCACGATGCAGCTAGGTTCGGGCCCTGGTTGTGGCAGCCTTCGCCTTGAAATTCGAAGCCCTACCTGTCGCCGAAAGACCGACCTTTTCAGGGTTTAGGGGTTTGGGGTTTTTAGGGTTCCCTATTATGGTTTCTATATACAATTCGCAAGAAAGGCAGGTCTTCTGCGCCACAGCTGAACCCTGAACCAAGCTAAAAGCTTTACCCCGTAAGCCCCAAATCTTACATCCGAAATCCGACTTGGAGGTTCAGGGGTAGTTATAGGTGAACCGCCCCATGTAGGCCCCGAAACCTGAACCCAAAGCCCTAAACCCTAAGCCAAGATCCCTCATGAATCCGTCAACCATCGACCCTAATGTTTGTGGTTGGGTTAAACCCTAAACCCTAAACCCTAAACCCTAAACCCTAAACCCTAAACCTAAACCCTAAACCCTAAACCCTAAACCCTAAACCCCTAGGATTTAGGGCCGGGTTTAGGGCTTCGGGGCTCCAGGTTTTTTGGGTTTAGAACTCAGGGCTTCTGGCTGCAAAGGGTTGGGGGGGCTCAGGCCTTTAGCGTAATATAGAGGCCTTATAACTACCAATACCAGTTCCGGGGTTCCTTATTATAGGGTTTAGGGTTTAGGGTTTAGGGTTTAGGGTTTAGGGTTTATGGTTTGGGGTATAATTGTAGTATAATATACCCCAAACCCTATTCTGATTATTAAGGCCCCTACACTAGAGGCTTTGAGGGCTCAGCATTCAGATTTTGCTTAACGTCAAAATTGAGGGGGGCTTGAGTTTCTTGGTGTAGCAGGGGCCTGAACAATTAGTAGCACTAGTGTTCCATGGCGACTTGCTTTATTTGATTATACTGATAATTTCTTCCTGGGTTGGGTATAGAAGCCTAAATATTTACCGATATGAGCGTTAGGATGCCTTGCCATAAATATACTGTAGAGGAGCCCAAAACCCTATTCTAGTTATTAAGGCCCCTACATTACCCTCAACCCTAAACCCTTAGACCCTAAAGCCTTAACCCTGAACCCTAAACCCGAAGCCCCAAACCCCTAGACCCTCGCAGGCAGCCATGCGGGAAGCATGGACTGGAGCCGTCTCGGGAGTCTGGGTGGCCAGGGGGCCCAGAGTGGGTGTTTTCGCAGTTTTAATGGGGCTAAGTTGGTTCGGTGTTGGGTTT